GAAGGTTGTTTACAGTGCTACTTACATTACCAATTTTTTCCCCCAACTTTGCGGTGAAATCGATCTCTCACTGAAATCGTTACACTATTGGGGATAACACGAAACTCAGTGAAATACAATAAACATGTTCCAGTTGTAGAATTTCATCTGCGGTTCATCAATTCCCAACCACCGTCCCCTCAACTTTAAGGTAAACTCATTTTGTATTTCTAAGTGTAGTCAGTGGCAATATAGAGGCACTGGTAGGGAAATACGTTAATTGGGAGGGGGTCTGGGGGCAAAGCCCCCGATAGGGAAATGCAGCAATCGGGAGGGGGTCCGGGGGCCCAGCCCCCGGGTTAGGAGGGTTTTTTGATTCATACAGCGATCCTACTGGTCATTCGTGCGTTTAAGATGTGGTTCACTCGCTCATTCGCTCGCACAACACTGCATTGAATCATCTGTGGCCGAATCTTCTCTCATGTTTTTACATTTTCCACTTTCTTTGCCATCTGAAGTACTATCTTTGGCTCGGATTTTCAATTTCCCACATTCTTTTGCTTTTTAAAATGCATGGTATGAACGAAATCATCCCCCCAACCCCCAATTCCCCACGGGATCCCCCAACCTTGTTGGTGGGAGTCGGGGAGTTCGCCTCTGACGGGTGCGGTCCTATCATAAAAATTTACCTTGCGACTGATCCAGGTATTACCACAAACTCATAAGTTTCCTATACAATGATTTCTAAATTGGATAGCCTGCAAAACCGACAATCACACAAACAAAAGAAAAGTGCAATTTCAATGCAAAAGGATGTGGTTTATAACAATCAAATTATATAAAGATAAAAACCTGTTGTTCTACATTTTTTACAAAAGAAGAGTTAAGGTTTGACTTTCCTGTAGCAATAGTGTCTCCCATTTGTTTAGGGTCCACTAACCTGGGAGTTAGGTGTTAAAAATGGGTGTATGGTTATGACATTATTGTATAAATACAAAGGAGGTGGAGTCCCCTAGCTATATAATGGATGCATTGTGCAACTATCAATGGGGACAATCATATCAAGATTGTGGGCTGTATTTAAAGTTGCACCATTCTTAACCATTATATATATACAGTACACCTATTTTAGTTAAAGTGTAGGATATCAATATGTGAAATGTTTTAAAGAAAATGTAATCAACTACATGAAAGTGAAAAAACTGAGTGCACTCACATAGTGTGCCTATAATCATCATTTAAATATATTATTGCGACTAGATGTTTCTAAGCTGATCCCATGATTCAGTGTCTATTTAACACTTCTCTGAGGAACAAATATATGATCAAGGTACTGTACTAGCTCCACATACAGGGATTTCTCAAGTAAAATGATGCAAATAATAATCATCTTCAACAAACTTTAGTACAAAACTTATTTGCTAATTTTACATAATACCATTGCATAACTGATGATTTTGGTAACAATGGATTCCTCTCACCCTCTAGTACACATGTATGTAGGAATTATGCCGTGGAGCCCCCACAGGGAGGTCTGCCACCCCCTGACCCCTGCCCAGGAAAATAAAGGATCCATGTATTCATGTCAGGAGAGAGTGTCGGACAGACTCGGCATCGGGCACTCCTGCATGTCGGTTGTATGCTCACTCCTGCAATGAATACATGGAGGATTCTTTGTATTCTATTGCAGGGGTTAGGGGTTACAGCCCCATGCATTAGACAATATATGATTGATTCTGTGTATTCTCTTTATACATTACCTCACACTTTCCCTGATACTTTTCATGCCTTCCCCTGCTATCTGGGCCAAGACTGTCACCTTTGACATCCTGGACAAGTTGTTCATCTCATCCATCTCACCCTTCATTGCAGCCAGGTGAGCAGGATGAGATGACATCAAAACAGCGTTTGTATACAAACAATTACAGTTGCAGGAAACCACAAGATATTAGTATGTAAAGTTGCATTTGGAACTCAACGTCTTGCTCATCCAGACAACTTGTCAGGCCCAGCAAGACAACAAGGTGGCATTCAGAACCTCCAAGGCCTTCGGTGCCCAAAATACAACCTGGACGAATGTAAATAATCACCCATTTATCATGTCTTTAGTTTACAAACTGCATAGGTTTTTTGACTCCTTTGATGCATATCTAACTTACCTGTAACTGACAAACACAAAAATGTCCTTTGCTAATATCAATAAAGAGCCATAAAATTACCAATCAACATCTTGTGGTTACCTGCAACTGTCATTGTTTTCATACAAATACAAATGTGACATCATCTCGTCCTGCTCGCCCAGCTTCGCAGGAGGGCGAGATGAACGAGATTGACAGCTTGTAGAGATTCTGAATGGTCAAGACATCTTGTCCAACTTGTCTGGACGAGCAGGACAAGGAGTTCCAAACATAGCATAATTATAGGTAATTTTATGGTCCTTTATTTATGTTATCAAAGGGTATTTTAGTGTTTGTCAAGTTAAATAATTATGCATATGAAATCAGAGAAAGTAAAACCTAATGCAGCGTAGAGTAATAATGAAACTAAACTTCTGAGCAATGAAAAGCCTCAGTGAGACAAGTCCATTGATAAAATAACATCGTTGCGATCAGTTAATGAAAAGATATATCAGTAAAATTACCAGGTAATTTTCTATATTACGGCCGCCGCTCATATATCGACGATTTTGGTATCGTTGGATTCACCTCTACCTATAACATTGCAAATATGTAGGTTTTATTGCACGGAAACCCCCCGATCAGCAGGGCGATGGAGAACAACGGCCCTTAAATTTGAAACCTATATAAACCACAGTGAAACTATCTTCCATGAGTTGCTTGCCCCTGTGGTGATGGTGCCCCTGCAACCCCTCCCCCTGGGAGCGGGGTCGCAGAAGGTGAAGGAGGCAGGTTGTAATGTGGACAGTGAAAAGAATCCAACGATACCAAAATCATCAATATCGGAGCGGCGGAGGTAATATAGAAAATAAAACCACAAATCTCTACATTTCTTCTGGTGGTTGCTATTTCGCACAGGATCCGACATCCAAGTACGAGCACCCTCCACACTCGGCCATGGCGGCGGCTATATCGAAGTACTGAACGCGATGGTTATTTCGGTTAGGAATTCGGATGTCGTTGTTCCAGAGGACGGGAAACTCGACCTTGAGGCCATCGGTGTAACATCGAAAGAGGCGCAAAACCCGCCGACGAGGGCGGGTCACCCTGTTCATCCTGATTATACTACAATCGTCTTTATATGCAATGCTGACTATGCCAAGGTTAATATGCTGATTCAGTGGGAATGTTACAAGGTAATTGTAATATTACGCCCGCTGCTCCGACATCGACGATGATTGTGTAACGCTGTAGCCTGCCGTGAATACGTGGTGGAGGTTATGTTTTCTCGGCGGGGGTTGGGGCAGGGGGGGGTCGCAATGGAAAGTCCTGTGAATAACCATTGTTATTTTCACTGTGCGTTATATTATTAGTGTTATCTAACCCTGCATTTTCCCTGGAACCTTCCATGACCTCCCCTGCTATCGGGGCCAAGTTTGTCACGGTAAATCTAAGTAAGACAGCCGCGCCTATTTGTTTGTTTTTCTCCTATTCCCTTCAATCTTGGGGACTCGTGGAGAATTGGGGGTTGTAGGTAGGCGGGGGGGGGGGGGGGGGCACACGGAAGAAATAGTATAATCAAAAGTGAATATCTTGAAAAAAATGCATAATCCGAACGAGATTCCTGCGCCGCTGCGGGATGCGCCGGTGTCAATGTTGCCAAAATCCCGACGAAATTTCTTAATGTAACCTAACCTAACCTAACCACCCTAACATTAACCTACCTAACTAACCTAACCTAACTACCTAACCAAAGCCTAACTAACCTAACCTAAGTAACCTATGTAACTAACCAAAACCTAACCTAAACCTAACTAACCTAACCTAACCAAACCAACCTAACCAAAACCAACCTAACCTAACCTCCAAACCCCCGTATTTTGTATATTGCAGAGAGCTCACAGTATTGTTTTCATTTGAGATGGTCCGAGACAACGATGTTTGTGGACTATAGAGAGGCAACTTTTGAATTTCAATTAATTAAAGCACAACCAGTGAGGTCCCCACAATTTTATTAACTTCCCCGACATGTACGAACTCTAGTCAATAATTCTGTTATACTTTCCCCTGTATATATAGTGCGGTTGTCTAAATTAGTATTGCCTTTGTCACTAACGGGGGGGGGGGGGTTTCGAGCAAACAAATATATTTGTAATGTGGACAGTGAGAGGAATCCAACGATACCAAAATCGTCGATATCGGACCGGCGGACGTAATATAGAAAATTACCATTACCTATTATTCAACTGGACTTTTCAACCTGGTGGAAATATCAGGGATAAAAGTCACATCTGAAAATGCAGTAATTTACAAGTTGCAGTCGATCACAAACGGTGCCCTATCCCATTCGTACCCTGACTTTGCACGAAATACTCACAAAAAACTCTTACCTGTCCTGTATGAGTGGGTGAAGAATCCTTAACAATACTAGAGGTCTGAAGTGCTCTGCAATTTCCTGGGAGTCTTGCAATATTCCTTAAATTACGAGAGACGAACAATCCGGCGGACGCCATGTTGAACAGCTGATTCGGTAACATTTGTAAATAAGAAAAATATTACATATTTTATTTTGTGAGATTTTCCAATGTATCATTATATTTTTTAATTCTAAAATTATCACCAATATTTTGTGCTGACAAAATGCCTATATTTTCACTATTTTTGAAATTAATGAATACACAAATATACGATCATGAACAGAAATAGGTTATACTTCAAACTTTTATGAGCAATCTATTTGAAAACTGTTAAAATGATACTCAATCATCAGTTTATTTCTATGAGTTTAATATGAATAGATAATGCAAACTCGAATGATTAGAAAGTTCCTTGTTGTTGATCTCGAGGACATAAGAAAACGGATGAAATTTTAGGACACACTGATCAAAATACTTGAATTTTCGTATACGGAATTTGCAAAGATATATAGGATACTTAAGGGAAACAATAACAAAATAGATCTCTCTGGCTATATTGTGATATCTTTACTTATATATCTCCAAGATTTTGAATATCGTTATAACTTTTGATGTGTTTCGCGAGCAAAAGAGAATCCACTACATATATTAAACATATGCAAAAAATTATGTTTTTACATGATAGGAAAGGCTTATAGTATTATCACTACTAAATGAAAATTGGACATACTATCAACAAGACGGAAAGCTGCGTGTTGAGATCAACCGAATATCGAAAAAAATAAAATGCTTTATTTGATAAAGCGAATATCAGACACCAATTAGCAAGATCTTTGAAAAACAAGATAGCATGATGCACTTGTACCGGCAAACCAAGCGCCCATTTCGCGTACGAGTTAAAATAAAATTATGTGAAGAAAATAAAATACATTAGTCCCTCTCGAAAATAAGCCAAAGGTAAAAGTCCGTTTTCTGTTATAGAAGGAAAACAATGCGCTTGTGCTGCCATCTGCCTGAGGAATTTTTCCCAAGAAAGTAGTACGAGAAATTTGTGAGACTGGAAAGGATTCATGAGGATTTCGGCCTGTTTTTGGTGTTTTCCGAAGTTCAGAAGTAATATTCTTTTGATTTTTAGGTGAAACCAATGTGGAAAAGATTGTTTATGCGATCAAAAGTTTCATTGTTTGGAGTGGTCGCGTGTATTGCTCCGCCATGACACTTGTTGTCGCCAGTGAATCACATCGAAAAACATTATTTTAGTGTGCAATTAGAATATGACTCGGTCCAAGTGAAAGTGTTCTATGAAAATGTAGAAGCGACTGCGTGACATAGCCATGGCCCGTTATGGGAGCGATGCTGCCACTGAGACCAGCCGTCTATTACAAACTCTCAGCCTGTGCAAGGGCAGCGAGGCCGCCCACCCCAGTGCTGGCATGGGCGGCGAGGGCGTCTCGGGCCCCAGGGAGGCCAACCCAGCGCATCAGGACGCCTCGGGATACGGCCGCATACTGGCACGGGCGGCGGGCGGCGCGGCGGGCGGCGCAGGCGCGGCACCCGCCCCGCTCCCTCAGCCGCGCGTCGGCGCCATCGAGAGCCTGATCAAAGAGGGCACCGAGGCCCCCGCGCCGCACCCCCCGCCGGTCTACAAGGTACTCGACTCGCGGAGTGTGATCCAGGCGTCCAAGTTCGCCACGCCCAAGCAGCCTGACCCCGTGGTCGTGTCGAGCGGGTCGTCGTGTGTGGCTGTCAACGGCGGGTCGTCCAGCACCTCGGCTCCTGGGCTTGTCACAGGCCAGACCGCCACCCCTGCCTCTGTGGGCTATGCTCACATCACGCCCACCACAGCAGCTGCAGGCAAGAGTGGGCCAGTGGTGAACGGGGGCACACCTCAAAAGCCTGTCAATGGGCAGTCGCTCTACTCTGGCCATGTGCGCTATGAGCCCCCTCCCATCTATGGGAGGAACAATCTAAACAACTCTGCTCATTCGAGTCCACGCTCAAGCCTGAGTGGCGGCAGTCACGATTCTCAGACCTCGGGACAGCATGCGCAGCATCCACGAACCATTCCACAAACTCTGACTCAGCATTCCAATGAATTTGTTGTGAATCCTAATTTTTTAGGGCAGCTACATACTTACGAAAATATCAATGCTTATCACCATTATGGACCACAAGGTAGTTTAGCTGCTACCATTATAGAAAATAAGTATGCCAGTCCACGCTCTAGTATAAGTTCACAGGACTCAAAGCATTCCAGCCCAAGAAGCAGTTTTGTACATTCCTTGCAAGGTTCTAGTCTTGACAGGACAAGTTTAGCCAGTCAAACCATTTTAGAAGAGGGAAGTTTGCATAGGCCTACTTTGTCAAATAGACATTTACCACCGCGTATTGAACAGGATTTGGAAGGAAAGCAATTTGTGATTCCTAGAAACAATGCTTATGTTCAGGAAAATGCACGACACAGTTCACAGTGGAGTGTGAGTAGTGACTCGGTCAGACACAGAGGATTATATTACGACGCGCTTCCACCCCCTCCTGTTCCCCCCCAATCACTGACCCTGACGAGACCCACACACACCCCAGTTGCAACTCCCAGTCCCACTGCCCTCCCCCCTCCACCGCCATATCCTGGAAAACCACCAAGTTTAAATTCTGTGTCGTCCACAGATGCTAGTGACTCTTCTGCGTCTCTTGGAATTCCCCGCACGACATCTGTAGTTTACCCGCTAGTGACTTCCAATCATAATTATGCAAACATTGAAGTGTTAAAGAGTGTTTATGGAGCAGATCCTCCTCCCCCACCACCATATCCCTCGTCTCTTGTGCGGCAGTTTCAGAATTTGAACCTGACTTACTCCCAGGCGCCTTTGGGCACACATTCTCCCATTCCATCAACGCCGTCAACACCTTCTACTCCTTCAACTCCACAAAGTCTGCTGAGGAGTGGTGGGGCTCCTCCACCTCCCCCTCCGCCATATCCGTCCTCAGTGGTCCGGGCAGCTCAGCAGCAGTTTGTCGCCCCACCACCACCACCACCGTACTCATCTTCAGTCGTAAGGAGCATCACGCCCATTCAGTCATACATACCCACCACAATAATCACAGGACAGATTGCTCAAGTGCCACCACCGCCACCCCCATACCCTTCTTCAGCCGTGCGGAGCGTAGCGTCAGGAGTGAGCTACAGCCATAGTAGCAGCATGAGTCAGCACAGCAGTACCAGCAACTCCTCCAACACCCCAAGTGATCGTCTGGCACAGTGGCAGAACAAGCTGGGCAGCAGTGGGCATAGCCAGGGTGCACCACCTTCCAACATGTCCACTGTCTCTCCAGGAGTGACCACAGGGCATGCCCAAATGCCCCCCAATCCTTCGACTACCCAGAGCACCACCAAGTCTACTGTCAGCGGGAAAAACCTATTGCCCTACAATGTTACAGCAAAGTCTATGGTGAGTGTTGGCTTTCTTTTTCATGTTTATGGTAATGAATAAAATATTTTGCATTTCAGATTTGTAACGCTAGATGTCTTGAAAACATTTATCCGGGATTTTATGAGTATCACCAGCTCTGTAGTAATTCTAATTCTCCTCTGTGCACCAAGAAAAAGTTAAATCAGTTTTTAATGGGTGGTTTAAATGATCATTCACTTGAAAAGGAAAATTATTAACAAAATGAATATACCCTGTCATATGTCAGGCAACAGACACAAATGAATAGTCTTTTAAATTATGTCATGTAGAATGCTAAGGGCGTTTTGATTATCCTGTTATTCAGGTGCTTAGAAAGTATTCGGCTGTACACACAGTTATCTAATGTTTGTATGCATGTATGTGTACATATGTGCAACTTTTATATCTTTGCACAGACAAAAAAAAGCCTTGATTGTATTTATGATACTGAATTTTATTAGGCCTATTATCTTTGTAGTGGTACTTACTTTTTTGGGGGGGGAGGGTTGTTGATGTATTTCAGTGTCTTGTCCTGCTTTTGGATGGTGAAATTTGATTATTTTTCTGGTCAATTATTTTAAATGCTGAAAGACATCTTAATTTTGAGAATTCTTATTCAGGAGTATATCCCATCATGACACTTAGTAAAGTGTCATGATGGGGTCAGTAAAAGCCATTATATCTAGTTGTCTCACACATGAGTGGTAGAAAAATATTAGGGAAGAAAGTATGTGAATAAGTTCATACTGCTCCTGTGTAGCATGGATAATCAAAAGTATGATTTAAAATAGTATTACAAACATTTATTTTGTTTGAATTATATTTTCTTATTAGTTAGGATCATTAGGAGTAAATACACCTATACTCTGATATGCATTTTGAGGCATTGTATTTTATTCTTTAGTGTCCTAAGGAAGGGGGGAGAAATGTTCCTAAATATATATATTGACAGCTCATCTTTTATTGGGGAAGTTCAAGGGTATGATTAACAACAGGAAGTGAATTATGTCAACTTAATGATGAAGTTGATATTTGATGGATTTGTTGTAAAAAGCATCTTTGAGTAATACAAGCACAATTATTGAATGAATGCTGCTAGTAAAGGTAATCAGAAGGCATTTTCTTATTTTAGTTATGATATGAAAGTTGGAGATTCTTTGAGAATAAAAGGAGAAAATCCTAAATATTAATAAGTTTACATATTTGAAGATTTTTTTCTGGAGAAAAACTGGGATTATTAAGAGAAGTGATTTCAGATTCTCATTACAGAAAGGTTAAATTGCATTTTTCAGCCCTATAATATCAGATGTGTTTTTTATCTTTTAGTTATTTTATAATAGATTTA